GTAGACGAGCTGGGTGGGCAGTTGTTGTCGTTTCTTCTTTCGATTTATTTTTTGAAAGCTGTATTCCTATCATTGAGCTCTATTTGGACTTTATCTTGTATATGCGCACTGGATAGGTAGATCACTTACAATTGTTGCTTGTGTCATGGGTGACAGGTAAATACAGAACGGGCCATTCGGCATGCGATTCAAGAACGTATTCCTATTGTTCTTGTGATTAACAAGGTATCTTGCCTATTACATAAAACTAGTGAAAATATTAAGTGTCTTGCAATGTTGAGATACAGTTTATTTTCCTCTAATAATTTTTGTTGTCCTTTTAGGTTGACAGACTGATAACTGAGCTTAAATTGCCTCCAAAGGATGCCTACTTCAAATTAAAGCACATAATTGAAGCTGTCAACAATCAAGTTACAGCTGCCTCGTCCATAGCTGGAAATGCACAAGTATTCGATCCTGCGTTAGGGAATGTCTGCTTTGCAAGTGCAACAGCAGGATGGTCGTTCACACTGCAGTCATTTGCCAAACTGTATGTTAAGCTTCATGGAGTTGCATTTGATGCCAACAAGTTTGCTTCGCGGCTTTGGGGGGACTTCTACTTTGATCCTGACACAAGAAGTTTCAAGAAGAAACCACCTGCAAGTGGGGTCGAAAGATCTTTTGTGCAGTTCGTTCTTGAACCTCTTTACAAAATCTATAGCCAAGTGATTGGAGAGCACAAGAAGAGTGTTGAAGCAACCCTGGCAGAACTTGGTGTGACGCTTAGCAATGCAGCTTACCGTCTAAATGTTAGGCCTCTTCTGAGGCTGGCTTGCAGTGCTGTTTTTGGCACTGCCACTGGCTTTACTGACATGTTGGTTCATCACATTCCTTCTGCTAAAGCTGCTGCAGCTAGGAAAGTGGAGCACATATACATGGGTCCAAAGGATTCAGCAATTTACAAAGCAATGGAAAATTGTGACTCCGCTGGCCCTTTGATGGTTAATGTGACCAAGCTGTATCCCAAATCAGATTGTAGTGTTTTTGATGCTTTTGGTAGGGTTTACAGCGGGGAAATAATCACAGGGCAGACAGTACGCGTTTTGGGAGAGGGCTATTCACCTGAGGATGAGGAGGATATGACTGTAAAAGAAGTCACAAAGCTGTGGGTATATCAAGCTCGATACAGGATACCCATAAGTAAGGCTCCTCCAGGTGCTTGGGTGTTGATTGAAGGAGTGGATGCTTCAATCATGAAAACTGCTACTCTTTGTAACTCGGAATTTGGCGAGGATGTGTACATATTCCGGCCCCTTCAGTTCAATACTCTTCCCGTGGTGAAAACAGCAACTGAGCCTTTGAATCCTAGCGAGTTGCCCAAAATGGTGGAGGGGCTTAGGAAAATCAGCAAGAGTTATCCTCTTGCAATCACAAAGGTTGAAGAGTCTGGTGAACACACAATATTGGGTACTGGTGAATTGTACCTAGATTCCATAATGAAGGACCTTAGGGAGCTTTACTCCGAGGTGGAAGTGAAGGTGCTTTATAACTCTCTCTTCATACATTCACCTTTGTCAGTTCTCTGCTTGTTTCAGGACAAATCCAAACTTTATTGACATTAAGGATTCATTTGTTAAACTTGACTGATCTCGAGGTGCATTTTCGTTGTGTGTGCAATATTCAGGTGGCTGATCCAGTTGTTTCATTCTGCGAAACTGTAGTGGAGTCGTCTTCAATGAAATGTTTTGCTGAAACACCTAATAAGAAAAATAAAATCACCATGGTGAGACAGTCTGTTAATTTTTTGATATGTGCAAGCTGAGAAAATTGTTTCCCTCCTTGCTCACTTATATTGCGTGTAGATTGCGGAACCATTAGAGAGAGGACTTGCTGAGGACATCGAGAACAGTGTTGTAAGCATAGATTGGCCTAGAAAGAAACTTGGTGACTTTTTTCAAACCAAATATGACTGGGATCTGCTTGCTGCACGATCTATTTGGGCATTTGGACCTGATAAGCAGGTCAGGGTTGCATCAGCTTAGATGCTTTACCACTTGGTTATTTTGAACATTTTCTAATGGATTGCTTCTATTGTTTAGTTGAACATAAGTTTTCTGTTTTGACACTTCAAATGTATTTGCAGGGACCTAACATCTTATTGGATGATACACTCTCCAGTGAAGTGGACAAGAGCTTGTTGAATGCTGTTAAAGATTCTATTGTTCAGGGGTAACTTGATCTTAGTTTTATGCTTTCTTTCCTTTGTGAGATATTGGACTAACAAAATTTTAACAGGTTTCAATGGGGAGCTCGGGAAGGACCCCTATGTGATGAGCCCATTAGAAATGTTAAATTCAAAATAGTTGATGCAAAGATTGCACTTGAGCCACTTAATCGTGGAACAGGTCAGATTATTCCAACTGCACGACGTGTAGCCTACTCTTCTTTCCTTATGGCGACACCCAGGCTTATGGAACCTGTGTATTATGTGGAGGTATAACCCGTGTATCTGAAGTTAGTTCTTTTTTTTGGGTATCGTTTGGAGCACACTTTGGTGAATGCATTTATGATAAACTGTTTATTATGTTCTTCAGATCATCATATAAGAAAGAAAGCGAAAGGGGTTTAGAACTGGACCTATAGGCTGTATAAAACACATTATTTTACCTATTAGAGCTGCTAAGCTATACCCATTTATATTATGAAAAAAATTAATAGTGAAACTGTCATGACAGGATATTAGTAATGTTCTTGCTGGTGTTTTTACAATGTTCAAATGATGAGATAAGTACGTTGTTAAGTCTTAGTTAGGTTCAATTATTTACAGAAAAAGGGATGAAATTTGAACAAAAAGATAGATTTTAAGATCTTTTCTTATGTGAAACTGGGGCTAACTTTCTGGTGTCTTGATTCAGATCCAAACACCCATGGATTGCCTCTCTGCAATATACACCGTGTTGTCTCGCAGGCGTGGACATGTGACTGCTGATGTTCCTCAACCTGGGACCCCTGCCTACATCGTCAAGGTTTGATTTGGAAATATAGATAGCACCCTGGATTTTTTGTATAATCTTTTCATGTTATAACATAAGGTTTTCGCATGTGCACACTTGTTCCTTCTCCAGGCATTTTTACCTGTCATCGAGTCCTTTGGTTTCGAAACCGACTTGAGGTATCATACCCAAGGGCAGGCGTTTTGTCTTTCAGTTTTTGATCATTGGGCTATTGTTCCTGGAGATCCTCTTGACAAGAGCATCGTTTTACGACCACTAGAGCCTGCCCCAATTCAGCATCTGGCTCGTGAGTTCATGGTGAAGACAAGGCGTAGAAAGGTATATATTCTAGTAGGGTTAATTTGAGATTATTTACTCTTCAGGTTTCTTGAACAGCACTTGATTTGAAGTGGTGCTTGCCCCCTTCCAGATGTCCCTTGTTCCCCCTCTTCTATTATGATCTTGGTGCAAGCCCCCTTCCACATATCCCTTGTTTCCCATTTAAGGCTTCAACTCTCATCTTTTCGGTTTTTT